CTCCTCCCCCCCCCCCCTCCCCCCGCCACCCGCCACTGAGACAGTTTTAGAGTCGAACAGCTTCTGCGTCCCCCTTCCCCACCGCCGGCACGGGCTGCTGGTGGTGCTGCCAGGCCAGGGGCTCGGCCGGCAAGAGTCCAGCTCCACACCCTCCTCAGGAGCTCTGCTGCAACGCACCATCCAAGATCTGCTGGGCGATGTGAGTCAAGGCAGGGAAGGCAGAGCTCTTGGGAAACTCTTGGATGAAATCTCTGCCTTCCTCCAAGCTCTGGCTGAGCTGGGGGTCCAGAGGAACAGAGCCTGTGGGAGAGAGACCACTCGCTTATTGTAAGGCAAAGGCCTGGAGTCAGGATTAAAGAAATACCCTGCCAGAGCCATCACCAGGAGAAGCGGTAGGAAAGAGAGCAGCCACCGGCCTCACTCAGCTCTCCAGGAGCTACTTCTCACCTGCAACCGCTTCCTCGGGGTCCAAGACCCCACCACAGTGCTTCACGAGAGACACTCTCCCACCCTGATCCCACTCCTCTCCGGAGGGCAGGGTTCAGCCCGCAGCCCCCATTTCTCAGGGAGGCTCCAGGGCATTTCGGGATGGCTCTTGTGCAGGTTCAGGCTTGCTTACTCTGTCACCACGACAGCAGCCAGAGCAGGCTGCTGATCGTCACCGCCCCTGCCCCAGCAGGGACGGATGCCCACTCCGAGCAGTCTGGACGGCAGAGAAGCAAAGCAAGAATCACACCTCGCCCTCTGGCCGGGCAGCAGGGGCTCACAGGGAGCCGGAGCCCAGCCTGCCTGCCCCCGTGACGCCGCATCCCTCCGCTCAAGCACTCCCACAGCACCACAGAGCTATCACTTCTGACCACGGAAAGCTCTGCTCAAGAGGCCACTCACCTAAGAAGGGGACCCCAGCGTGCTTGGCCAGCTCCTCACCTCCCCCTTTGGAAAAGATGTTTGTGCACTCCTGAAGGAGGAAGAGCAAAAGCAGCGAGTCATAAACCCCAGAGCCCTGCGTGACGGGGCAGGCGCTGCCTGCACGCGTGTAGAGCCAGCTCCCCTCCACCTTCCAGCCTCAGGGTACTGCCTTTGCCCCTGCCCTCCCCCAGCTCTCTTTAGGAACGCAGAGCCAGTGGCTTCTTCCAAAGCTGACGCGCAGCAGCCAGCAGCTTCTCGTCTGCCCGGCTCACAGCATCGCCCTCGTGGCGTTTGCCCGTTTTCCACCCGAGGCGCTGCATCCCACAACGCCCCGTCACGAACGGGAACCCGCGGCAGCCCAGCGGTCCCACCAAACCCACCGAACAGTGCGGGCAGA